ACTGATAGGGACTTGCTGGACATGTAAGAAACGGCTCGCTACTGCTGGTCAGGAGCTAATGGCGTCATTGCCAATAGCCCGTGAATTACTTTTGTACCATTTATTGGTAAACACGAGCGGAAGCAGGAGAAAGGATACGGGTGCCTGTTTACCTATCAACAAGCGCGATCCGTGCATACTGAGCTTTCTCACACTTTAAAAACGGATTCGTTCATTACAGCTCTGATGCGATTTGCTTTCCCAGAGGGACTCAGGTAGAAATATTCAGTGACAATGGGAGCAACTTTGTGAGCATCGCAACTGCGTTGCGTACTGCTGTGAAAGACTGGTCCCAAGCAAGGATCAATGATAGGCTCCTTAGCATGGGAATGCAATGGCACTATAACCCACCAGTGTCCAGCCATAGGGGGGTATTTGGGAGCGCATAAGCAGGTTTGTTAGACGGATACTGTTATCGGTCGCAAGGCAACAGACGTTGAGTGACGAAGCACTTGATACTGTCGTTGTTGAAACGGAGTGTGTCGTCAATAGCAGACCACTAGTACCATTGACTTCGGACCCAAACGACTGTATGGCACTCGCCCCTGATTTGCTGATACTACAACCTAACGAATCGCATTTCTTGACGGCTTCTTTAACTGAGGAATATAGACGCTGTTGGCGACAAGTCAATTATCTGACGGCGTTGTTTTGGAAAAAGTGGGTCGCAGAGTACTTGCCATTGTTGCACTATAGACAAAAGTGGCTGCATCGGAGTCGGAATTTCAGACCTAGTGATGCAGTTTTGGTCTCTTGGGAAACAAGTTCACGGAGCACGTGGCCGATGGGGATCGTTGACCACTGCATAACTTCTGAAGACGGGCTTGTCAAGACTGCAGTTGTTAGAACAAAGAATGGGTTAATCACAAGAGACGTGTGAGCAGATTCCGGTGCTCAGTGGTTCGATGCCGCCGGACACAAGTTAGACAACACTTGGTCAAATTGGTGCAAACCCGTCAATTGTCATATACGACTGACCGTGGTCACAGACGCGTGACATACTAAGGTCGTGGAGCATGTAAATTGTTCTATGTTCTCATAAGATGTATGTGGCAGAGCTCAAGCAGATCCCGATTGGTTTTTGGAAGCAAACTCTCGAGTTGGACTTGCTCCGCACTGCCTTGTGGGTCAAGCTATTGTGTCAAAGGCTAGGGATAGGGCACCTCGAACAAAACTCAGTTCTCGGAATGGATAGCCAGAGAGTATCATCTGCCTTTTGAACAATTCTTCCTCTTCCTCTTGTTCCGCTCCTTACTAAACATTTTGCTTCTCCCTCTATTGAGCCAAAAACTGTCGACAAGCTTGTACCTGTTGCCAGCGATACAAGTAACTCGTACATCAAACCAAGAGTCACATTCCACGTCGGTTCGTTCAACGTCTTTACTCTGGGTCAGTACTGCCGATAGAAAGCGAGAAATCTTACTCCACTCACTTGGTATTCACGTTTGCTGTCTCCGAAACACGCACAAAAGGTAACAGCGTTGTGACGAATCTACGACTCCCAGGTTCCGAAGCTGCTCACTATGAATGCAGTGTTCGCGTCTCTAGCGATAGTGGGTCAATGGTTCGAGGTATTTACGTCGTAGGTATCACCCACAGCAAAAATGCTGAAAAAATCTGCTCGACTGGATACCGGTGAACAGCCGCATGTATGCAGTTCGAGCCTCTAATGGGGTGAATAAGCACCGTCTGAAGACAAGCTGGCTTTACTTCGTCTCCGTTTATGACCCTACTGAATACAGCTCAGGGGTAACAAGTACGAGTTCTCAACTGTACAAAAAATAATTTTTTCGATAAATCAGTTCAGGCATCTACACTTATAAAGAAAATTATGACACGGATTAGCTTGTGAAAGCCATGGTAAAACGGGATAATTATCTTTATAATTGTAGATGCGTGAAGTGATTTATCGAAAAGAATATTCGTTGCACAATTGTTAAGTTCTGGTCCCATGGGAACAAGTTGTAAAATATGAGTTCTACAATCCGATCTCATCTATTCTTCGCATAGCGAAAAATAGGAACATCGTGATTGCTGCTGGTGATATGAATGCCCAAGTGGGTCGAGTTTCAAACTGAACAAGACCTGGGAGCCGCCGTAGATGATGTACGGTGAAGAGAAAATGGTGATGGAACTCCATCAACTGTGAGCCGGCCAGAATAAATACATTAGCAGTACAGCTTCCCAGCACAAATGTTCATATGGCGTTACCTGGCGTCCACTGAATTCCTCTATACTCTGAACCCAAACTGACCATAGTGTCACCAGCTATAGATGGTAGCCATGCGTCTAAGGCTGCAAGTCAATTTGGAGCACGTGCCTGAATTCCGACCATGCCCGTGAGCGCGCCTGATGCTCACTACTTCTGCTTCAAAGAAGCGCGAAATTTCTACGCAGTCTCGCAATCAGTGGCATTCGTGCGCTCGGTTTTTTGCATTTAAATGTCAAGTTTCATTTCATCTCGAATAGTTTGTGCTTTTCTGTCCTGATTTCACTTTTGTTGTATTCTATTTGCATTCACCCACACTATTTAGCGCTATTCGGGTGATGTGAACCGTGGCAACTGCACCCACCGCACTTCCGTGACCGGACCACATTTGGCTAACTGAGCTGAACACTAACGAGCCATCATAACAGACTGCGCATGTTTTGGGTGTTCAAACGCAGCTACTGCATTTGGGCGGGAGAGATTTTCACTCGTTTCTTACTCCGGAAGACAAATGAGAGTACATCTCCCACCTATTGCCCGACCCCCCGTGGGGAGCACGTAGCTACCAGGATCATCCCCAGTTTACGGAGTGTTGTAAGAAGAACAACGCAGGAGACTAGGGCCATAAACCATGTCCCATCCTCGGTCTAGAGTTGACCTCATAATGACCAATCGGATATTACATATGAGTGGACTTCTCATAGAAGATCACTGCTACACATGCGCGAATAAATTAGCACACGTAGATACCGGCACAAGTTTATCATGAAGCATATGAAAGAACGCAAGCAAAAGCCACCTAGAAGCATTGCTCCCAAGAAAGAGCTGTTCATACATTTACCATTTAAGGGCGACACTGCAGCTGATATCCTGTCTCGACGTTTGAAAGATGCTGTTGAGAAAACTTATTTCGCAGCCCGCTTAAGAATTGTTTACCACAACAAACCATTGCTTGCAAAACCCTTGAAAGATAGTCTGCCATCGTTGACCCGTTCAATGCTCGTTTATCAGTACTCGTGCTCTTGTGGTGCACGATACGTGGGTCGCACAACGAGACGTCTATCCCAGAGGATTCGCGAGCACATCCCGGCGTGGTTTTACAAAGGCGAAATGAGGGCCTCAGACAGCTCAATCATGTCACACCTCCTCGAAAGTGGCCATACTGCATCGGAGAATGATTTTAAAGTCATCTATTCACTACCTGAACGCTTATCACAAGGCTTCCGAAAGCAAATCTTGTCTATCGCCGAGGCTATTTACATCCATCATCTGAAGCCGGAATTATGCGTACACAAACGATTCATACGGCCGATACTACTACCTTGGCCGACTGACATGGTTACTTAACTACCCTTTGTGACCTTAGCTATTTACTTTAGGCCCTGAAGCTTGTATTAATTTCCTTTGATGCACTTTTCCTACCATGTGCAGCCACCTTTAGTCATCGATCTTGACCTTTCAAACACCTTAGAAATCAATCCCAGCCCGATTTGACGCTTACCCCACATAATCCGTGTCATGTAAAAGTTTGGGTCTGACGAGATTTTACCGAAAAGATATCTTAACCCTGAAATGTTTTCTGGCCTTGATTCATTTGATTACAATGGGAATATTTGCTGTGTTGAAAAGCAGCATTGCCCGTGATTCCTTACTTTATTCCCTGAGATCAAAGGTGGAAGACGAGATAAAGCGATAGCAATCAGCAGAAACAATCGAGCCAGTCCAATACAGTGAGTGGGGAGCTCCAATAGTTGCAGCCCTGTAGCCGGATGGTTCTGTGCTTATTTGTGGTGACTACAAACTAACTGCTAACCGTCGTTTACTTCTGGGTAAGTATCCCTTACCAAGGACAGAGGGTTTGTATGCTACATTGGCAGGCGGACAAAAGTTTACACAGATCGACTTCAGTCACGCGTACTTACAAACTGAGTTAGACGAGACCTTTTGTTCGTGCACTACGACAAGTACAAACATGGGTCTATTCCAGTACAAACATCTGCTCTTCGGAATCAGTTCAGCCCCGGAGATATTCCAAAGGACCATTGATAACCTGATCAAAGATATTCCTTTTATTTGCGCTTATCTTGACGATATTCTAATTACAGGATGCAATATGTTGAACATTTACAAGTGCTATCGATTCGAAAGTCCACAACAGAGTGGACTCAAACTGAAGGATTCCAAGAGCACGTTTTTCTCAGATTCTGTTCGTTACCTTAGTTACCGTCCCGATAAAAACGGATTACACGTGTTAGAAGACAAAGTAAAGCCTATCCTTGTCGCACCTAAACCCAAGAATGAAGCTGAACTCCGATGGATTTTAGAGACGTTTTCTCACTATCGTAGCTTCTTACCAAATGCATCAACAGTAGTTGCACCCTTGTACGAACTGTTGCACAAGGGGAAGTCCTGGACTTGGGGTCTGGATCAAAGAAAGGTCTACGCAAATGCAAAAAGGGTGCTCAGTGCCTCCCCGCATCTCGTGCATTTTGTTCCGAGCCGGCCTCTAGTGCTGCAGTGTGACGTTTACCCACGCGGAGTAGGCGCAGTCCTCTGCCACCGGACGGATGACCGTACTCTTCGTCCAATCGCTTTTGCTTCTCGTACCCTGCAACTCGCTGAAAGGAAGTACTCGCAACTGGACAGTGGCATTAACGATTAATTTCGGAGTCAAGCATTTCCACCAGTACATCTGCGGAGGAGAGCTTGATATCCATACCGACCATAAACCACTTCTTTCACTTTCGGGTGAGGAGAAAGGAATCCAACAGATATCTTCGCCTAGAATGCAAAGGTGGGCATTACTTTGAGTGCCTATAACTACAAACTTCAGCATGTAAGCGGACCAAGTAATACTATTGCCAAAGCAATTAGCCGCCTCCCGTAGCAACATGGCATAAAAACGAATATTGAACCCATGGAGTTCAACAATTTGATGCAACACCTTGAAAAGACACCCATCCGGAGCGACGTGGTGCGGCGCCTGACGGACCGGGACACTGCGTTGTCGATGGTGAAATGGTTCCTGATGATCGGACGGCCTACAAGCACGCCAGACGAACTGAGACCATTCGCCACTCGGAGTAATGAGTTGAGTCTATACGACGGCTGTATATTGCGAGGCTCGCGCATAGTTCCACCAGAAGATCTACGGCCCCAGTTGCTAAGAGAGCTGCATGACGCACACTCCGTCGTGCACAGGATGAAGGCGCTGACACGTGGTTACTGTTGGCGGCTGAACATTGACCAGGATATAGAGCGGCTGGTGAAAAACTGCGAACAATGTCAGAAATGCCGAAGGCAAAAATCTCCCGGACCGATAAGTCCATGGCGTTGTCCGGAGAGGCCCTGGAGGCGGGTACACGCTGACTACTTGGGCCCAAACGATGAGTTGACGTGTATACTTTTGATTGACGCCCATTCTAAATTGATAGAAGTACAACCAGTTCCAGATGCGAGTTCCGCAGCAAGTTGCAAAAGTGCGCTCCATATTCGCCATTTTCGTTATCCCAGAGGCGGTATGCACCGACAACGGAACTCCATTTACCAATGAAAAATTTCGACAGTTCCTGAGTAACAACAGAATACAACACAGTAAGTCAGCACCGCACCATCCTGCGTCGAATGGAATGGCAGAACGTGCAGTCCAGACTGTTAAGCAAGGTCTCCTCAAGCAGACTCATGGAACTCTACGAATGAAGTTGGATAGTCTCCTGTTCTCTTACCGCACGACACCGACTGAGTCCACAGGGAAGTCACCTGCGGAATTCATGTTTGGTCGGATACTACGAAGGAGACTGCACCTACTTTTTCAGAACTCACAAAGAATGGAGGAGAAGCAGGGGAAAATTGGTGGGGATGAAAAGATGCCCGAGCAAATGTGTCTCATGCCCTCAACGAACAAACAAGCGAAGCTAATGCTAGAGGACGGCCGGGTGGTGCGTCGCCATTTTGACCATATCCGGCCACGCTTTAACGAACCACAAGAGCGGGATCAAAAAGCGACTGCTACTAACCCAACAACGGACGATGAATCTGCTTCACAAAACCAGGAAGCACAAACGGATGCGGTACAACCAGAATAAGGACGCTCAAAACGCACGCTTAAGACAATTGATCGGTATCAACCCGGAGACTTGACGAGGGAAGAGAGGGGGTGTCACATACACACTTGAGTATCGATTCGTAAAAACAGTCCTCACATGCTTGGTTGAGAAGGACCTTGCTTTACTTTCCTTATTTCAATTGTTTTCCTTTCCGGCTTTTCTAGGCACTGTAAAGCAAAATGTTTTTAGTAAATCGGTCCCGTACTACGCGTGCGCGTTCTGTTATGTTCATCGGTTAAGGGCCATACATCCGTTTCAAAAAAAGAGAAGCACCGCGACAACGCAGTACAGGTACCTAAAACTGAGGCTAGTTTCAGTAACAGATCTGAAGCTCGTTCGGCACGAATATGCAAGATTGTCCCTGAGATTGTAGTCAACTCGAGGACCTATCGGGAGAGAAGTAACACCTCAGAAGCAAATGCGTACGATCGGAGAATGGAATAGCAGAAGGATAAATTTTCGTAACAGATGATACGTAGTGCATGGAATCAGTGTCGAACGTGAGCAGTGACAGAGTTTGCATTTGACCAGTGGTAGGACAACACATTAACATGATTTGTTACAACAAAATATAAGCAATCAACCACCAGACATCCAGAAAATCGCTAGATGACCGTTTTGTCTGAATGAGGATTTCAGCAACGCATCGCTTCCGTATCCAAGGGGACTCAAAACCGCGACTATCCTATTAAGAAGCAGGGACTTGATCATGCTTCGTGTAATCCGAAGTAGCAGAATTTCCAGAAGCGGAACCCGATCGACTCAATCTGAACGCGTCCGAAATTTGGAATGGTCTAACCCTAAGTAGAGCCAAACGCCTAGTCCCAAAGCAGGTGCGCAACTGGCTCCAAGCGACAAGGTGCAGTTTCGAAATATGTTCCTACAAGCCGGACATTCGCGGTTTCTGCGAAACGGAACATTGTTCTTGTTGTTTATTCCAAAAATCTACATGCAAAAAGCATAAAGGTAACAACAGCATGCCGATGCGCAGCACCGACGCTTCGCTGACACGCGACTCCCACTAGTTGTGCGAGGACTACGGATTCTGCGAAATCGCCGGCACCTGCTCAGATTCGAACCGGTAACCTTTGGGTTTCAAGACACGCCTCATCAGTTCGGCCACCGGCACCTTTGATCCTCTACTCTTGGGCCCTGTGGATTCCGGCTATTATGTTGCCGTTCCTAGACCGGTCTAGTTTACCATCCACCAATACGCTTTACTATGTCTGGTTTTGTGAGCCTTGGGTAATCAAGAGTCTGAAGGGACAAGTCGGCTTTAATAAATAAATAAATTTGTATAGTTACCGACGGACGGTACACGGCCCCATAAGTGGGAGCGATCATTTGTTCTAATCGGTGGAATATAAAAGATCCACTGACGTATCCGCGAAGGCAGTGAGCCACCACTATTGATTTCCGGATGTAACATAGCGCTGGTCACCCCCCACTGCCATGCAGTGGAAAGGGTTAACTTCCAGAACAACAGATTCTATTACTACATAGTCTGACGATTAGTTATTACTAACAGAAGAGTTGCCAGCGCCTAGGTTAGCTAGAGAGAAGTAACGCAAGAAAAAACAAGTAAAGAAACTGCGAAGATGGAGTAACTGTATGATCAGTTAGCAGATAGACAGCAAAGCATGACATTCTGTGAACAATTTCGGGAGAAAGGGAGATCGGTAGGGAGGTATGTTTCAGAAGCTCAAGTTGGCGAGCTCTTTGTGATAACATTTATATTAGACTTCCAGTAACCTTGTGTCAAAAAACAAGATATACATTGTGTAGTCAGCCGGCTGAATGACACACGAGGCGATAGACCGGATGGAAAGCAACGCATTCTGTTGGGAATCCATGGCCAGCAAAACATACATAAGTCTGTCTAATTGCACTGATTTTCTGCACAGGAGAAGGACGAGTCCTCGAGCGGTCTTGATGTCAACGCGATGGCTCACAGTCTTCGACAAAGGCGGCGGAAATGGATCTGAAGGGAAGTTATTTAAGCTCAAGCGATTATCGAAGAAGAATTGGGGAACCAGTCCAGGACGTAGTAGACTTCTAATGATGTTAGAGACCCGTGAGAGATTGATGAAGTTTCGGTTATGGCACGTGCACGGATGTGTGGAGATCCAGTCAGAAATGACTTACATAACCATAATAATAAAAACAAATACTCAGAAGTGAACGAAATTGAGACCAGGGGTGGAAATACACTATTCTCCACGTGCCAGCGCCACGGCCGACTGATCAGAGCTCGTGACCTCAGCGAAGAAGGGATCCCACATAGCAATTACACCAGTGTCAAATGGGGAAATGTGGATGCAGTAACTGGTCAGCATAGGCTGCAAATTTCACAGCATTAAAGGGTCAACTTTGGAAGTTACCGTTTATGGAATTCAGAAACAAACGCTTACTGCGTGAGGGAATTCGAGACTTCCGGGTGAATTGGCTATGTGGTATGTGTCTGACGAAAGGACACTGCGATAATTAGCATTGCTTGGGGTTTGTTTTCCAACTGGTTGCGAGTCGCTCGCTGTAGAACTGGTAATTGTGAGGGAGGAGGCGCAGCTCGACCCTGAACACGGGGATGAGATGGAGTCAGCAATGTTAGTCATTCGTTTCCTAAGTTGACGGATGATACCAAATAATGACGCGCACTCCTCGAATAACAAACGTCCCAAAAAGTCGCCATGATTAGCAGTGCGTAAAGAATTCGAAGGAAAAAGATCAGACAAAAGGGAAGGAGACACTGAACGACACCGATGAGTAAGTCGCGGCAAGGTTGAAAACATGAATACTGCAATGCGTAGGAAGAGAATTGGTAAAAATGTAGAACAAACAATATTATTCAAATGACTAATTAGCACCGCGTGAAAAGACTGAATACGCCTGAACAGGAAACATACAGAAGGCGGAGACATGTGTAGCTAGATGAACGGAAACGGGTAGATCCAGATGAATGAAAAAGGTAGTATGAAAGTTGGTTGAAAGCGCCACAGCTTCATTTAATGGGAAAAAGGGACTCGGGGTGGTACACAGGGCCCATGTTTCGCCGATGCGTAACTGCGTGCTGGCGTACGAGAGCTAGGATACTGTGGGGGATTTCAAACCCATGTAGACTGGGCCTTACCGATAGACAAGGAAATTGCAAGCTAAACATACGAACTATTATATCCGGGACCCCCCTTGTACGACATGGCTAAAATCTCGTTGGCCTCCTGGCGAACACGAGAAAAACCAGTGGAATGAACGGAACCGGCACTATCATCTCTTAACTAAATAGCATATTATGCATGGGGTATGAGATCGTTGTTGTAGGGGGAAGCTAAATGAGAGGCGAGGGATAAAGAGACTCACAATAGAAACGCCAATGAGGTAGGTTCACTGCCATGTCATCAAGTGTATCCAACCAGACGTGTAGATCGTCCTTTGGACCCCAGCCCGGCAAAAGGGATGCACTAACCGACGCCGACTCCGAAATGAGGGTATTCACTCCACTTGACCAAATCATCGCTTGGTCTTCACTTTTTCTTTTCCATTCAGACCCCGGGCGTGCAAAAGCAGGACGGGGGAGTTGGTGTGCTGGCACGCGCAACGCATGGTCTAGCTATCGCAGTCTGATGTATGTTGAGCGGTTCATACGTTCTTACTGCACCAAATACGCTAAGCCAAACAAGCTTATTTCTCATGCAGTGTTCGCACCAGACGGGAGCTAAGCCGTGAAGGCAGCGGTGGTCGACTTGATGTGCAAGGTTTCGCATCCCTACAGGAGAGTTGAACGGACGGTTGCATTGTAAACTCTGCCCCTCAGCGCAAGAGTGATGCCGTGCAAGCGCCACAAGTGAGGAAGATTAACAAAAGCATCTCGAGCTTTTGCTATACGGTTTGTGACCTCATAATCGATCCCACGGGCGTTAATATAGCTGCCCAGGTATTTGAATTCCTGAACGGCTTCTAGCTGACTACCATACCAAGGGTCAGCACAGGGGTGGATCCCTGCCAAGCTAAGAGAAGTACTTTGTATTTCGAGGGGGCATAGCCCGAAATAACTGACAACCGAGGCTAATCTATCCAGTGCAGCAAGGCATTTTTGGGAGCTGCCACAGATTAGGGCAATGTCGTAGACGTAATTCAAGTCAAAAAGCCGCTCAACTGGGAGCAGCTCCACACGTTGTAGGTTTTGCCCGGTGTACACTGTTTCCATGACTTCGTCAATGGCGAAAGGTGACAGCCGACAACCTTGCCTTACACTGCTGGAGATGCTGAAGGGCGGCGACAGTTTGCCATAAACCCTCATTCTAGTCGAAATACGCGTGTACAACGCTCTTATTTACATATTTATCGGGTACACCATTTCTGAGTAGACTGTCCACCGAATCGAACGCATCTACGATGTCTAAGAACACGACTACGGTCGGACGACAATAAACATGACGATGCACCAACAACTGAGGTAATGTGAAGATGTGGTCAATACGCCCTCGATTTCGACGAAACCAGGC